ATCGCCATCCATGTATTTAAATGCAATTCTGAAGTTAGAAAGCATAGCATAGGCTCCTTGCACAATATTCTTTATGTGGTCCTCAGGTGATAGTTTTCTATCTAGAACTACTCCTAGATCTCTTTCTTTATCAGAATTCTTTAAAGATTTCTCACATAATATATAGGTTGTGTGGGGTCTATGTTCTCCTATTCCACATTCCATAACATGACATTTATTTACATTAAATTCCATTTGCCAAGTGGTGCTCCATATACTTATTTTGTCCAGGTCTTCTTGAAGGGCATGACAGTCATCTAAATTTCTTATCCTTCCTATTATCTTAGCATCATCAGCAAACATGTTCATATAATTCTGTATACCAACTGGTAGATCATTTATGTACACAATAAACATCACTGGTGCAAGAACTGAACCTTGTGGTACTCCACTTGTGACATTTCTCCATTCTGATACATTGCCTCTGATTACTGCCCTCATTTTTCTATCAGTCAGAAAATTTTTCATCCATGATAGAAGCTTACCTGTCACCCCTCCAATATTTTCCAGTTTCCAGAACAACCTCTTATGTGGAACTCTGTCGAAAGCCTTTTTTAGGTCCAGATAGATGCAGTCAACCCAACCATCTCTTTCCTGTAATATCTCTGTGGCTCGATCATAGAAACTGAGTAAATTCGATACACAGGATCTTCCAGATCGAAAACCATACTGTCTGTCTGATATTATATCATTTCTCTCTAGGTGTTCTACCCATTTAGTTTTGATTAGTTTTTCCAATACTTTCACTATTACACTTGTCAATGATACAGGTCTATAATTGAGGGGGTCTTCCCTGCTGCCACTTTTGTAGATTGGAACTATGTTAGCCTGTTTCCACCCGTCTGCTACGATTCCTGTACACAGGGATGCCTGAAAGATCAGGTGAAGTGGAATGCTGAGCTCAGATGCACATTCTCTCAGAACCCATGGTGAAACGCCATCTGGGCCAGCTGCTTTGTTCTTACCGAGCTCCTTGAGCATTTTTTCCACTTCGTCTCTAGACACCTCTATGTGTTCTATGTTGTTCTCTGGAATTCTTATTGTATCTGGTTCCCTAAAGATTTCATTTTGTACAAACACACTTTGGAACTTTTCGTTTAGTGTTTCACACATTTCCTTTTCATCTTCCGTGAATCTATTTCCCATTTTCAACCTCTGAATATTATCCTTTACCTGCAATTTGTTGTTTATGAATTTATAGAATAGTCCTGGTTCTGTTTTACATTTGTCCGCAATCCCTTTTTCAAAATTTCTTTCTGCCTCTCTCCTCACTGCCGTGTAGTTGTTTCTCGCATCTTTGTATCGCTGGTATGTTTGGGGGTTCGGCCTCTTCCTGTATTGATTCCATTTTTGTGTCTTTCGGTCTCTAGCCCTCTCGCAATTTCTATTGAACCAATCCTGTTTCCTAGTTCTGCATCTCTGTTTTGGTATAAATTTTTTTGTGCCTTTATCATATATTTCACAAAACTTGCCATACATCTCATTCACTTCCTTGCCTAGCATCAAGTCTGTCCAATTATACTCACTAAAAAAATTTCTAAGGTCACCATAATGTCCTCTCCTGAAGTCTGGTTTTTCAACTGCTTCAACCTCCTTATTTTCTTCCAGCTTATAACGCATTGCATACTTTATTTCCAAAAAGACATGGTCACTTTTACCCAAGGGAGGAAGGTACTGAATATCAAATATCTCTTCCTCCTTCCTGGTAAATATCAAATCTAGCATGGAGGGAACGTCCCCTTCCCTCATCCTCGTGCTGGCTGTGATTCATACATCGGGCGCATTCAATAGCCTGGTTGATCAGACGACCAACCGGGAGGCCAGAGACCAGACCGTGGGGGTCATTGATCCCTGGCAGCTTTATAAGGTTATCTTGAGATCTTGAAGTTATCTTGAGATGATTTCGGGGCTTTTTAGTGTCCCCGCGGCCCGGTCCTCGACCAGGCCTCCACCCCCAGGAAGCAGCCCGTGACAGCTGACTAACACCCAGGTACCTATTTTACTGCTAGGTAACAGGGGCATAGGGTGAAAGAAACTCTGCCCATTGTTTCTCGCCGGTGCCCGGGATCGAACCCGGGACCACAGGATCACAAGTCCAGTGTGCTGTCCGCTCGGCCGACCGGCTCCCTAAGGTAGACACTAGTTAGGTAGTAACACCTGAAAAATGGTACTGATCCCACCAATCAAGCATACAGGTATGATAAAACCCTCTCTAAGCCCCAAGGGGGGAGTAAAAAAAAAAAAAAAGGAGGAGGAGGAGGATTGTCAGCCAGTCAGAACGAATCTAGAACCTTGCATAAAACCCAGAAATGCGAGGCAGATTTGGATTCAAGAGGCCAAGTCTGTCAATGAAATGAGGCCTCATAGGCCAACGAGGCCAGAAACTGTGACTCATACGTCAAGCTGCGAGCAGCCGCGTCCAACAGCCTGGTCGACGACCGGGCCGCGGGGATGCTAAGCCCCAGAAGCACCTCAAGGTAGGCCCGAATCCCACAGGAGATACCAAAAAATATTCGCACAAACCTCAAAAGGCAAAACTTGGGCAGACGGAAACCTCTGGAGAGATGAAATCAAAGGGACACGAGGTTACGAGAAAAGCATGCATGTTTGGGGCATAGTGTACAGGTAATCAAATTCATACATGAAAGGAGGGATATAAAAAATCATCCATTTCAAGCAAAAGCCCCTTTGTAAAGGGCATTAAAGTCCAAGTAGGGTCAAAGGGCACCCAAGAACCCCCATTGGGTTCTCCCTCACACCTATTAACCAGGCACAACAACCGCCAGAATCAAGCCATAGTCATCGCTTAACACCTGAGTTAGAAAGGCATCATCCTCCGAAAGAGAAGGAACCAAGTAGAAAAGTGGCCGGGAAGGCAAAAATTCCAATTCTACGGCAGGACAATCTGGCTCAACTGCTTCCTCTCTCAAAAAGGAAAGGACAAACACAGAAGAAGGCCACGCTACACCCCACCACGACTCCAAAACCCTTAGGAACTTTCCAAGCCAGAGTCAAGACATAGGAACAGAAGTAGAGCAAACCACACCCACAGGGGAAAGAGAAGGAGTGGAGTGAAACCACAGTGGAATTCATCAAGACCTACAATTTTGGGTACCTAAATACAATATGGGCCAACTCTGGGACATCCAATCATGCAAAAAGCATTGGCAACTGGACATGGGCAAACCTAGTCTGCCAAGCTGCAGCTGTCTGATGAACTTTCACTTCAGAAGCAGGATTAGATACAACAGAGTCAGTAGGAGCACAAATGCCACAAGAGTCAAGGTCATAGGCGTCACCGGCTCAACAAGTAATATGGCAGACTAAGACCAAATGATCACTGCCACATTGCAAAGCCAAGCACCCCTCAAACTCGCACAATAGCAAGTTCAGGCTCAATGGGCCAATCCATAGGGAAGAACACACAAAGAGGACTTACCAGACCCAGAAGGCTAATAGTAAAACAGGACACCCAGGCATTGGGAATATTCGCTAAATAAATAGTCATGGAATGCAGCAAACAAATGCCGGGCTGCGCAGGGCAGATACAGCATGCTGTATCTGCAAACGCATGAGCCTTGATGCACCCCAACTCAAAATGAACACCCACAACCACGGGTCTAAACAGAGGAGTCAAAGACTCTTGCACCACCTAAGATAAGGCAAACCACTCTAGTAGCCTGGCCTCAAAAGGGCAAAAACCCAAACATGCCAGAGAAGTAACTCAGTGCAGGGTAAGTAGAGTGCGTCTCCGGAAGATGACCCTGAACACATGCAGCTCGGAGTACAAAAATCATGTCCACACAACATGCCAGATAGAAAACACACACACACGAAGTAAATACCAAAGAGAAACAAACATACAAACATGCAAATAACCCCTCCTTGCAGAACAAAGTCCAAGGACAGCCGGCTCAGATGCATGGAAACCTGCCGGTACTGATTGCAACATAGGAGTATTACAGCTCCAGTGTTGCAGAAATGGCCTGCGAGGGTTGGCAAGGGGCAATGGCTCCGAGCTTCCTTGTAGTGGTTATTGATACTAATGGGTTCGAACTAGTTTCGAATGTCTGTAATGCTTTCCCACAGGGGTTATCTTGAGATGATTTCGGGGCTTAGCATCCCCACAGCCCGGTCCTCGACCAGGCCTTCTTTTTGTTATACACCCGCAGAATGCAGCCCGTAGCAACTGTCTAACTCCCAGGTACCTATTTACTGCTAGGTGAACAGATACATCAGGGTGAAAGAAACTGCCCATTTGTTTCCGCCTCCACCGGGGATCGAACCCGGAACCTCAGGACTACGAACCCGAAGAGCTGCCCACTCAGCTGTCAGGCCCCAGGAGGTGGTAGAGTGTCACCTGCTGCTTGTGCCTCTGAAGGGGACCAGGTGTCAGTTGTGGTCCCTGAAAGGCCAAGCACAACTCCCACCATTGTTGTAACTTAGCTAGCAGCAATCTCAGTAAGATGACTTCGGGGAGCAACCGTACCACTCTTCCTAGAAATATCTGCAGTGGTGATTTAAAAGATATGTGCCAACGTATATGTAGAAAACAATTAAATTTTTGTGGTATTTGGTACAGTACATACAGTATAAGTTAACTCTGCCGCCGAATAGTTCCGAGACTTTACATATTTTTACAATTAATTGTGTCGGGACAGTAAGCCAGAGTGTATTCATACATGTTAAGCTTATATCATGGTCCACCCCCAAGATCGAATTACTGACCCCATCTAGGATACAACCCCACAACAAGCTGACTAACTTCTGAGTACATACTTACCACTAGGTGAACAGTTCATTAGGTGAAAGGAAATGTACCCAACCATTCCTGTCCTGCTCGGGATTCGAAGCCGGAATTCTCGATTGTGCGTCGAGAATGAACCCGATTATACTACCAGAACCTATAATATCGGTATTATGTACAGATAATATAAGAATCTGGAAAAAAGTTACTATACCTTTGTCTTGTCCTTTCGTTCCTTTTCTCTCTTATCCATCTCTTCTTTCTGTACTCTTGCCAATTCATCATAATATGATTCCTTACCCCAGCTGTGAGGATCAAACATATCCTGAAATAAATACATACAATAAACATTTATAAAAAAAAAAAACGTTGAATGTAATGAAACGCCATTTTCTGGGTGAGACCCAGAGGCTCCCAAGAGTTTACTAGGCTGATATGCTAATGTCAGACTTTGGCATCATTCATGTGTATGAAGTTCAATGGGCCTACCGGGGACCACAAGCCAGAATCTGGCCCCCTCAGAGGAGCAATGGGGAGCAATGGCCTATAGAAACCCCCGTGTGGTTGGAAGCATTTTATGTCTGCCATCGACCGGGTTAGGCACCCGGAAAGGTAAGCATCCCAAAACAAACCCCTATTTTGTTGAAAATATTGCTACCAAAAGCCGAACAAATAGATAGAACGCCCCTATACAAAACAAACAAATGATCATGATGTCACATGTCGCCGCACCACAGTCTGTGCAGCTCCCCCCTCCTCTCCGGGAGGGGGAAGGGTGAGCCCCACACCCCACACGCTGGCTATCCACCCATTAGTTCTTAGGCTGGATGTCAAAACGTGTGAAAAATCGCCGACCGGAGGGAGGGAGGGAGGGATGCCAGGGAGCCTCCGGGACTCACCCAGAAAATGGCATTTCATTACATTCAATGCTGGTTTTCTAGGGGGAGCCCCTTCGGCGTCCCGGAGCTAACTACCCACAGAGGAAAAAACATAGGGACTTACCCGGGAGGCGGTTGCTGCTCACTCCTCAACTCGAAGTTGAGACAACTGGCTGCAACCGCCGACCGAAAGCGACACAGGCCCGACTAGGCCCAGGGACGTTCACAAGGTAACGAGCAGCCAGGACCCTGTTCGACCGCCAAAAAACCCGCGCCCGAATGTCAGCCCACGACATGTTGCCAAAGACGGCAGCAAGAGCAGCGAACTTACGAATGTCATGGGCAAGGGAATAGACTGCAGGCTGGCTAGCCTTAATAACTCTGCAGATGACCTGGGAGACCCGCACCCACGAACTGGGAAGAAGGGAAACCGGATCAACCCAAAGCGCGTCTATTTGGGTTGATCTGGCGCAAATAACGGTGAAGAGTCGCAACCAGACACAAAACATAATGCACCCCTGGCCTAACCAACCAAGCATCCACAACCCAGGAACCCCTCCGGAAAGCAGCAGTCTCATTCTCTGCCAGAAAAGGAGACGGCTGCAAATGAACAAAACCATCACGAAGACCGAAAGAGCAGAAACCCCTGCGCTGGAGACCATGAAGCTCACCAACCCAACCCCCAGAGGCCAATGCCAACAGAAAAAAAAGAGCCTTGGAGAAACAATCCTGAACCGAAGGAGCCACAACAAACTGAGAAGAAAGATAAGAGACCACTCTGTCCAATGACCAGGATGGCTCAGGTGGCGCATGAGCAGGCCGGAGGTGAAACCACGCCCGAGACAGCTTGTGGAATGGTACAGAAGTAACATCAATATCGAAAGCAAGCTGAAGTGGCTCCGCCAGTGCCGCACGATATGTGGCAACAGTGTTAGGAATAAGGTGACAGTCCAGGAACAACCAAGAGAGAAAGGACAACACCACCCTAACAGAAAGCGAAGTACAACGACGAAGACACAGGAAGAAACGGAAGGACCGCCAGGAAACCTTGTACTGCCGCTGAGATAAAACCCGCAGGTGGGACACTAACAAGGAAGCCATTTGATCACCATAGAGATGATGATAAACTCCAATCAAAAATACAATACGCGAAGACTCGAGGAGAAGATCGAACCAGCCACGTGACGTTCCGGTCTGATCTGCTGGAAAAGGCGGAGCAGCGGGAAAACCTCCGGGTTCGGACACCGAGCAAGCAGCGCCTGAAACCACGGCTGGGCCGGCCACCATGGGGCCAAGAGGACAACTCTTCCCTGGTAAGTCTCCAAGCGAGTCAGGACCTGGAGCAACAGCTGAACCGGGGAAAAGAGGTACAGGAACCCCCACCACGACCAGTCATGCCGAAAGGCATCGAGCCTGATGGCCTCGCAGTCGGGGAAGGGCGTCACATACAGGGGAAGGCACCGCAACCATGCCAACTTGAAGAAGTCCACCTCGGGGCAACCAAACGTCCAGCAAAGCCAACTGAAGGAGTCGGAGTCGACCGTCCATTCCGTGGAGAGGTGAACGAAATCGGGACAGGCCGTCGGCTAAGACATTGGACATTCCCCGCACGTGAATGGCCAGGAGAGCCAAACCTCGAGAACTCGGCAGACAAGTCACCCGAAGCGACCAGCCCCAAAGAGCCAAGGACCGCATCGAACCCCCTCGGTTCAAGCAATGAATCACCGGAGAGCAGTCCGAAGGGAGCCAGATCGTCGACCCGCTGGCGACCCGAATCCTCTGACACACAAACCACACTGCCGCAAACTCCCACACCATGCTGTGGGCCTGACGGAAGGATGGACCACACAGCCCCTGGTGAGCACTGGTCACAAAGCCCCAGCCAAAAGATGACGTGTCCGTGAACACATCGACGGAGGGCTCGGGCAGACGCCAAGGCACTGAACCCTGAAAAACTCGAAGAGGAAGCCGGCGACGCAGCAGCCGACACAAGGCCCCCTAGGAGACGAACCCAGCAATCGCGAGAGAGGCGGAAGGGACGTTCCCGAAGGAACCAGAACAATCGACGAAGCCAAACCCGACCCGGTGGGTAGACCATCAATGCGAAGTTCAGGCTCCCGCACAAACCCTCGAGCAACCGCCGGGTGACCCGGGAGCCCCCAGAAACAGGCACAATGTATCTATGTATATCACAATGTATCACAATGTTCTATCTATGCAGATAGAACTAAGTCCATAATCATTTTTGGATGTTTAGAGAAGGAAATTTCATCTAGGGTGGACCGAGTGGCAGAAGAGATGAAAATCATAGAGAAAATAGTAGGTTTAGGAGAAGGCTCAAAGGAAAATGTCAGTGATTTTAGAAGAATAGGAAAATATGAGAAAGAAAAGAACCGCCCCTTGAGGGTGACGTTTAATGGAGTGAAAAACATGATGGAAGTGCTAAGAAATGCCAGGAAACTGCAGAGTGATGAGGTTGGCAAATTTTGGTCAATAAGACAAGACCTCTCCAAGGAAGACAGAGAAAAGCTGAAAATGAACCTAATTGAGGCAAAACGTCTAAATGGGGATAGAAATGAAGAAGACAGAAATTCTTTTTTTTACAAAGTGACAGGGACTGGAAAGCTTGTGAAATGGTACATAAAAACAAAGCAACAAGATCAGTAGTGAAAGGGGGAGTAAAGAGCAAAGGAAAAGGGAACATGCTCCTGAAAATTATATATACCAACATAGATGGAGTGAGGTCAAAAACTTTGGAGTTGCAAGATATAATCCAGCTTAGGGTCCCAGATATTGTTGCATTATCAGAGACGAAACTTGAAGGAAATATAATAAATGAAGTCATATTCCCAAGAGGCTACTCAGTTTGGAGACGTGACAGGAAAACTAGGAAGGGAGGAGGAGTGGCTGTACTGGTGAAAAAACACCTGAAGGTAAAAGAGTTAATATTTGAAAACCCTCGAGATATTGACATAATGGCATTGCAGGTCTGGAATCAGGATGATAAGCTGATAATTGTAAATACCTACAGCCCACCAGCAAGCAACACTTGGACAAAGGAAGAACTGGATGACAAACGAGAGGGCCTCATAATGGTCATGAGAGATATTATTGTACAAGCAGATAAAGATAAATCACGACTGTTGATACTGGGGGACTTCAACTTTAGAGCAATAGACTGGGAGGCCTATGAAGCAAGAACGGAGGACTTTTGGACATGCAGATTTGTGAACCTCATTCTGGAGACATTCTTGTATCAACACATAAAGCAAGTCACAAGAATGAGGGAAGGAGATGTACCGTCAGTACTGGATCTAGTATTCACCAGGAAAGAAGAAGAGATTTTTGACATCCAGTACCTTCCTCCCTTGGGAAAGAGTGATCACGTCCTGTTAGACATTAAATATGCTTTAAGATATCATCTAGAAGAAAATGGGGACATTGAAACAGTTGATAAACTCGATTTAAGGAGAGGAAACTATGGGGAACTTCGAAATTTTTTTAATGAGTGTAATTGGACAGAATTGTTGCTAGGTAGGGAAGTAAATGAAATGTATGCCAAATTTTTAAAACTATACGAGGAAGGCACACAAACATTCATACCAAAACAGAGATGCAGGGCCAGAAAACAGGATTGGTTCGACAGAAATTGTGAGAGGGCAAGAGACCAAAAGACACAAAAATGGAATCAGTATAGGAAGAGACCAAACCCCCAAACATACCAGCGATACAAAGATGCGAGAAACAACTATACAGCAGTAAGGAGAGAGGCAGAAAGAAATTTTGAAAAAGGGATAGCAGATAAATGTAAAACAGAACCGGGCCTATTCTTTAAATTCATAAACAACAAATTGCAGGTAAAGGATAATATCCAGAGGTTGAAAATGGGAAACAGATTCACGGAAAATGAAAAGGAAATGTGTGAAACATTAAATGAAAAGTTCCAAAGTGTGTTTGTACAAAATGAAATCTTCAGAGAACCAGACACAATAAGAATTCCAGAGAACAACATAGAGCGGATAGAGGTGTCTAGAGATGAAGTGGAAAATATGCTAAAGGAGCTCGGGAAGAACAAAGCAGCTGGCCCAGATGGCGTTTCACCATGGGTTCTGAGAGAATGTGCATCTGAGCTCAGCATTCCACTTCACCTGATCTTTCAGGCATCCCTGTGTACAGGAATCGTAGCAGACGTGTGGAAACAGGCTAACATAGTTCCAATCTACAAAAGTGGCAGCAGGGAAGACCCCCTCAATTATAGACCTGTATCATTGACAAGTGTAATAGTGAAAGTATTGGAAAAGCTAATCAAAACTAAATGGGTAGAACACCTGGAGAGAAATGATATAATATCAGACAGACAGTATGGTTTTCGATCTGGAAGATCCTGTGTATCGAATTTACTCAGTTTCTATGATCGAGCCACAGAGATATTACAGGAAAGAGATGG